TTTAGAGCAAATAAAGTGTAAACTGAAAAGCTTAGAAGCACTGGACAACTATTTCGACCTGATTGGTTCTCGTCAGCAGTGCAAATCCACCGACCCAGCTGGGGTTCGAACCCGGGACCTCACAGGTAGAACGCAAGCATGCTGCCCACTCGGCCGCCGGCATCTGATCAGACGGTGCTGGTATGAGCGAGTCGTGAGGCCCGCAACAAGCTGGCAAAGATGGGTTGTGCTATATCGTGTAAATGTAAAATGTAAAACGGTTTGATCAGCTTTCCGGTGGCTGAGTGGGTAGNATGTTCGCGATTTACCTGTAAGGTCCCGGGTGCGATTCCCATTTGGGTTGGTGGATTCGCACTGCTTATGAGACCCAATCATGTCAAAACAGCCATCCACTGCTTCCTAGCTTTTCAGTTCACGCTTCATTTGCTGTATACACGACGAATTCTCTTGTGACATTTATGTAATCGCCAATACACTGACGGTCCTACTATCGAACCGGCATCCACTGCTTGCTAAGTACCAACTGAATAGTAGTGTTCACTCAAAGATTTCCTCATTTAGTAACCGCTCGATCTCGCATGTTTTATCTGACGTTTTACAGGTGATCTATTTCTCACATGAAGTGTTCTTTTCTTTCCCCTTTCTCCTTACCAGGTTATTTCTTTTTTGTGCGGTTTGTTTCTATCTAGCCGAAAATCGTTCACGGCGTTGGTAGCCATGCCTGTCAGTGTCCTGGTCACTTGGGAGTCAGAACTAAAGCGCTGGGCACCAGCACTTCGTGTTTGCGTGTTCCACGATGCTAATCGACAAACCCGACTGCGACACCTGGCTTCAATTCAACGGCAAGGTGGAATTCTTCTCACGACCTACGGGATGGTAACATCAAACATCGTTGATCTAACCACCGATTTGAATGCGGACCCACACTTTTTAAGTTCCGCCGGTCGAACCGCCCCGGACGAACGTCATGGACCGGAATTTCAATGGAACTATTTAGTTCTAGATGAGGCGCACAAAATCAAAAACCCGGCAGCCAAAACCACCAAAGCAATCCTGACCATATCGGCAAAGCATCGCATACTGCTTACCGGAACAGCGGTACAGAATAATCTGGCTGAACTCTGGTCCCTGTACAATTGCACGCATTCTGGTCGCCTACTTGGTCGTATGCAGACATTTAAAACCGAATACGAAAAGCCGATCACGAGGGCTCGTGAAAAAGACGCTAGTCGTGCGGAACGTGCACACGGACAGTTGATGGCTCAAAGTTTACGCAAACTAATTGATCCTTACTTTTTGCGTCGAACGAAAGCGGAAGTTCTTCCCTCGACTGATAATACCACACCCGACCAGCTGGAAGTTTCCCTATCCAAATTGAGGGATTTGCAACTGAACGAGGCAATGCCTAAGAAAACTGAGTTAGTAATTTGGTTGTATTTGCGTGAAATCCAGGAGCGTAGTTATCGGGATTTTCTTCAACTGGATCAAGTCAAAGAACTACTGCTACGAAGCAATCGTCGGTCCCCACTGATGGAACTGATCATCCTGAAGAAACTTTGCGATCATCCACGATTACTGTCACGTGATCAATGTTTGAGTCTCAATTTAGAAGTAAACCAAGCACCCGAGGGACAGTTTTCTAAACACTACTTGCCCTCAGCCTCACAATTGATGAACGAATCCGGCAAGTTGTACTTTTTAGGTGCCCTAATGAATTCGTTCCTATGCGATGCCGAGCAAGAAACCCCGTACCCTCCTCGAACATTGATTTTTTCACAAAGTCTACGTCTTTTGGATATGGCAGAGAAAGTGATTCTGTCCTTAAATAAGCGACCGGAAAATGTGGCCAAATCCCGTTTTCATCGAGTGCTTCGGCTTGATGGACGTCTAAGCAAAGTTGAAGAACGACTGGAAGTGATTCGCATGTTCGAACGTGACAAGTCGTACACGGTCATGCTGCTCACGACACAGGCAAGTTACTTGAGTGTAGCCTCTCCCTCAGCAGATTTAACCGACTGCTTTGTCTTTTTCATCGCTGGTTAAGAACGTGAAAGGGTACAGTAGTTCCATATAAAACCACTCCATCAAACAAGTTATTTGCCACTCACCAAAGCTTGCTGCCAAATGTCATTGAAAGTACTTTACCACTAAATAATTTGCATTTTATGAAGCTTCTTTAACCTCTCAGTTTGGGGGCCCTCATCGTGCGGATTCCGATGCAGTTAGGTCGACAAGCGTGTCTTGCGCGTACAATGAGCACTTCGGAAATTAATGTCTGTTGCGTTTCAGATGCACGAATTCAGGATGCAAGTAATATAAGCTACCTGAGTGCGCTGGGTCTATCGACGGGGTATTTTCGTTGCAGATCAGGAGACCATGAAGCTCACCCACGGGGTCAGCGTGGTGTAGGAATCGTACTGAGCTATAACACTGAGGCCTTATTGAAAGATTGGATACCCGTCGATAGTCGTTTGTTTGCTGTAAGACTCCCGGATTCATTTAGCTTTAGGAAGGGAAAAAACAAAAGGTGTTTTTTTTGTGCATCATATCGGCATATGCACCAATCACATGCAGTCCCAATTCACAAAAAGGCGAGTTTTACAATCAACCCACCGAACTCATTCGATTGAACCGCAGTTCTGGTATTATAGTGCTGGCAGGTGATTTTAACGCGCAGGTTGGAAAACTGAGCGCCTCCAAAGCCTGTCTAGAAGCGGAGGGGGATCGCTTAGTCCTTCCCACCTAGCGAACAGATAACGGTGATCGACTACTTCATTCCTGCACAGATCATCTGTTGTTCTTATTTAGCACCAAAGTTTCGACACAGCTTCCGTCGGACTGCAACATGATGTTCTAGTTCAACAGGTAGTTTGATCTAAGTTGACCTCGTAGCTAGGGGCCACCGTTGGCGTGGTTCAGTACAAAATTGCAGATAGTATTGGACCACCTACTTTGAGTCTGATCACGCACTAGTTCTGATACGCTTTGCGCTTCGACTCATCGATCATCGGCGAAAATCGTTTCTTCAGTTAGCTCATCATCTTCCGCATAATCCATTTGTTTGCGCACGTTCTCAAAAGAAGCCTGGACAGAAGCTAGGAGCGCCACGAGGTGGTGGACTAGATTATCAGTGGGATAAACTTAGACGTGTAAACTTCGTTTGTGTGGTCGGGTTTGAAGTTAGCGAAAGACATTGGATCTCTCAGCAGTCAGTAGTTCTTATTGAACAAAAATCAACAATCCCATCCTGCTAGGATCAACAGAGGGACCGGTGGTGTCGGTCATGACTACTCAGGAAAGATGGCGAAAACTGTCGGGCCAAAAATAGCCAATGAAGCGGGGGTAGCTTCTGCATCCGAGAATAGTCAAATAATGTTTCACCTGATACGCAGCACCGGAGGTCGTCGCATACCGGTCAGTGAGACCATTTCTGATAAAAGTGGGCAGATTGTCCGCAGTAGAGCACACTGACCTGATCGATGGGTAGAGTATTTTAGTAAACATTTCAATTGGCCTGGTGCTAATGCGATTATTCAGGCGATTGCAGCGGAAACTCCATTAGTGGTACCATGTGAACCTCCACCGGAATGAGAAGTACGAAGCTGTGTTTAATCGCTAAAGAAACAAAAGACAACTGGACCTGATGGACTTCTCCACATTCTTTTTGATCTGGATTAATTACCTTTTCGATTTCGTAGCATTTGGTCGGAAGGGCATATCCCCTTATCTTTGGATGAATCGTTGATCGTTCCGATCTCCAAGAAGGGCTCACGCAAGGGCTGCACAAATGACTGTGGAGTAATTTTAGTTCCGCTCGTCACAGAGGTGTTAACTTCTGTGATACTTCACCTGTCACTCTTAAGGGAGACGAATATTCGTGAGTAGCAAACAGGATCTTCTGGTTGCATCGACCAAATCTTCACTCTGCGCCAAGTCCTCTGATTACGCCACACACTTCGTCCACCAACACTCGCATTATTCGTTGACGATGAATCTCTTATGTGTTTGCAGCCTCGCAAAGGAATGTCGCGGAAGTATGTAAACCTGTTGTGATCACGGTACCTGCATACTTCTTGTAAATTAAGAGTTTACAGTCAACTAAGCAAACCGTTCAAAACTAATAGTAGTGTTCGTCCAAGGTACTCTATTTCGCAATTCCTATTCACTTTTGTCGTAAACGAAATACTGGAGAACGCACTTAGTGGTCTCCAAAATGTTGGTATAGAATGGGCAGCTGGATAAATGCTGTGTGATTTGGAGTATGCTGACGACATCGTTTGTCTGTTCGAATGTATGGGGGATACTCAAAGCGCTCCTCTGTTACTCCATTTGGTATGCGCTTTGCACCTTTAAATTGCAAATTGGTGCTGCAAGACTGGGTGTCGTCTATCCCGGCGCTGATGCTTGATGGTCAAGAATTAACCACAGCGGAATTCTTCTCTTACTAAGGTAGTTGTGTGACAAATGGTGGTAGCGTAGTGAAGGAAGTAACCGCCTTCGTTTCCAAGGTACGAACGGGTACGCAGCAACACCTTTGGTGCCGACGAGATGCTTTGTTGAGAATGAAAGATCGCGTATACTGCGACAGTTTGTGATCCTTTCCGCTTCATGGTTACAAGACCCTTAATTTGTGCGCTGAAGACATTCATCGTTTAGACGTCTTTGACTGTCAATATTTACTTGGTCCGGATTGAATGAAGCGAGCAACTCTGAGACAAGCCGTGGAATAATCGATAATACTTGGTGGAAAATTTATCGCAGAATCCAGATCAGTAAGCTTCCCTGGTTAGAACACGTATTGCACTAATCCAGCTATCGTCTACCCCACTGCGCCTTATTTGCAGTTACAGCTCTCGGTTTGAGGAAACTACGTGGTGGTCAATAGATGACGTGGAAACGAGGCATAAAGAAATGCACAAAGCGATTAGGTTGTGTAGGTGTCTCGTGCCCTCCGGGTTAAGGTCCAAAGGACTAACTAGTTGGTTGAAGACCTTGAATGATATGACATTTATTATCACGTCAGTGTTGGAAAAGGTATGTATGCTCAGTTAGGATGTGCGCTTTGCGTTTTCATTTTCTTTACTTCCCTCCAACTAGACCGAATGAGCCTTTCTAATCAACGACCGAGTGAGCTAGTTATAGTTGAGGGCTTACAAGTTTTCGTTGAGTATATTTGCACACAGGACAATTTTTTCTTCGACTGCTGATCGGCAAATTACAACATGACCCCATTCCAATGCTTCAGTAGCATGGATCCCTACTCATACATTATAAAGTGTTGTCAGTTGTTTCGTTGCAATCAAGGTGACGCAGTACTCACTGGACAGCCGCTATCTAAACTTTTTGGACGCACTTGCTTTCTGGTTTTACTTGGAGTCTGGTGTTTACCATCCAAAATGTGAATCCATTACCCGACTTCAGGTGCGATCAAGAGACAATCCTAGATCTTTTAAGAATTATTTCAAGATGCTAGGTCGATTTATGGTAGTAACTGTAGGAGTCGAGCTCAGGGAGTTCCCATGATCCTTTCAATATCCTTTTCGGTCATTTTCTGCCCTGGTTGGGAGAGTGCACATTTTTGTTCTGGAATTTGGTATAGTGACCGTTCTGACCAGTTTGGTTCGTTAGGGGAGAGAAAGCAGAAAATTGGTGGGATCCGATACTCTTTTCACGTCATCTATTTTTATGACCAGTTCCGTTTTCGAATATTTTCACTTGTTCCGATTTACCATCGCTTCAGTTCTTACCGCAGGTAAAATGATCATTGTGGTTCTATGATTATGGGCGCTGGATGAAGAAATTCGAATGTTGCCATAATCATTTATGATAGTGATCTGTAATTTTTACCATCTGACTGTATCGCCAGCAGTGAAACCGATTTTTTCACTTGAACCTTTTGAGAACATCGCTCTTCTGGGATGTCGGAGATGCCGATCCAATCAGCCATCACGATATATGTATACGGTTGTTCCTCGCTTTATCGCGAATTCAATGGATTGCGGCTTAAAAAATAGATGCATATATCTAGTTCTGTCTGGTGGAACGTACTCTTTATCGTGGGATTTTGTGGCACATAGGTATTTCTCTACAATTTATGGCTTTAAATATCTTTACATAAAAATTAAAAACAGCAAAATAACCCAAAATGTTAAATTCAAACATAACCAATGGATATTCATCCGAGAATAATGCGTCTTTCGTCAACTGATCGAATGCATACGGCGCCCGCGGTTCCCCATAACTCTGCTTATCACTCGGTGCGTTACGTCTTCGTCTTTAGCGGGCATAGAAGTTAATACCCAAACTGAAGATATCTCTGGTATCTTTTGTACTATTGTTACCTTCTTAAAAGCTTTAATTCTCTTCTTGATTAAGCTGTACATTCATCTCACGGTCATCAACACCATCACCATCAGTAGTGTACAGTTACGTAATTCACGATCTCCATCATTCAAGTTGTACCTTTCATTGGTGAGTACTCATAGGATTTCATGCGTTGTTGAACTTAAGTAAATTTAAGAGCAAAGGAAGGGTATGAGAGAGATTGGAACATGTTAGTGGGAGTGTGGGAAAGATAAACAAAAAGCCTAAAAATATTTGCGAATAATACGAGCAATAGAAAGGCGTTATTTCGCTGATTTCCACCCGTCGTCGGGGTCTCTGGAAGGTGACTTCTGCTATAGGCGAGGGATCATTGGATATATATCCGAATTTACTGGGGTATTTTAACAGGTTGTCTTCTACTTCATTATCTCAATCGTCCCAAGGGCTGTGGATAGTATGTTCAGTGCATTTCTACCGTGGCGTTTAATGCAAATGAATCCACCCACCACGAGTTATTTGAATTTCAGGTTGCATTGTTTGGAAGATTTATGCGGTCAGATCGCCAACCAACCGCCCGTTGATCTTATGTTTTCATGTGTTCATTGATACTTTCAGGTTGGTGGAGTCGGACTGACATTGACCGCAGCCAATCGTGTAGTGATTTTGGATCCCAGTTGGAATCCGGCCACGGACGCGCAGGCGGTGGATCGAGCCTATCGAATTGGACAGAAGTCTAACGTGCTTGTCTATCGCCTAATCACTTGTGCTACTGTGGAGGAAAAGATCTACCGGCGCCAAATATTCAAAGATTCTGTGATTCGTCAGACCACCAGTTCTGGTCGTAATAAATCCGATCACGATCCCTATCGTTATTTCACACATCAAGATCTTCGTGAACTATTCACGTTGGCTGATCCACGCGTCTCAGCCACACAAGAACAGTTGAGCCAATTGCACGAGGCCAGAGAGAAATGGGATGACCAGTGGCTTTCGCCACATTTGGCTTATCTGACCGGAGATGAAATGCGCGATTCTGTGTTCGGTCTGTCTTTTCACGACTTGATGTTTAGCCGCCAAGAAGTGCACGAACCTGTACATCCGGCCACTGAAGACGAGGCAAGGCGCGAACAAGAGTTCTTGCGAAACCGTATGGCCGCAGCTGAGTTTGCAATAGCACGTGAGTGTGGGGGCTTAACAGCTCCACATCCCGTTCTCTCTTTGCCCCCTGATATGAACAACAACTCTGGTGCTCCTGCTTATCGTCCTCCTGATGGTGTATTCGTGGTACCCTCCATGATTGATTCTCGACGTCCCATGCTTAATCGACCACATCTAGGCCTTCCCACTGCTCGCTCTCTCACCCAAACAACTCTCCCATGGATGACACAACCACCTGTGGAACATACACAGCCTGATGGAGTTGCTGATTTGATCGATCAGTTTACGACCAGCCTGCGTGAAATGAGCATATCGCATGCAGATAGCCCTCCAGTAACTCCAAACACATCAGCAGCAGATCAAACAGATTCCTGTGTGATCATAGAGGATCCTCAAGACGTATCACATAAACTGCCTGAAAACGCTTCCCGCGAAACAACAGACTCAAACTCACGATACAGTGCACAGCAAAATAGTCCCGCGCACCCCACCCAGCGGGATTCAACTACTGCCAACTGCGTTTCTCAACCCTCATCTTCGTCCGTTCATTCTACTCAAACACCATCGGGTAAATCTGCTTCGGGTCGATCCTCAATGGATGTGAATTCACCTTGGCCATCGTCGGCCGCAGCATTTTTGGGAGCGATCAAATCCAACGTGTTCCGCTCGACTCCGGTATCGTTGAGAACTGCGCCGCAACCCATGCTCCTTGGAACACCAGTAATGAACCCGAGGAAGTCTGCAGAATCTCCTTCTACTCCCAGCATTCATATGTCAGCGGATACCACCAAGTCCATGAGAAACTCTTTGTCCCCTACGAAGAATCACTCTCCTATTGGATTATCTTCCTCGTCATCCTCTGAGTCCTCACATGAATCATCGTCAAACCCAATCCGATTTACCAAGAATGGTATGCTGATAGATATCACGGTAGAGATGGACGAAGAGCGATTGCAGAACACAATGGCTATGAAATCATTACACGAAGTGAGTGTACAACTATCAATTTTTTTCACCAACTAACACTTTCTCTTGATTTATGGGCCAATATCCGGACACTTATTTACTTATTCAAATAGTTTAGTCATTATACATCACGTCTAACTAGTTTTGTAATTACGATTGAAGAAATGCATGGAGCCATGAGGTTGAGTAGGTGTCTCACACCTTCCAGGTTGAGGTCCGAAAGACTCCGCAATTGGTTGGTTGTAGACAGTGAAGGATATGGCAACGAACTGACAGCAGTAGTCTTCTTGTTGTCATTTCTTATCAATCCAGAATGCTTGAAACGGTATGTATGCAGACCTCGGTTATTTACTCGGTGGTGTAGTGGTTTAGTCGCTATCACCGGCGTGCTTTGGACCCTATGGTCCGAGGTTCGAACCCCGCCACCCGACTTTGGTGGTAGGCAGCTCTGCTGTCGTCCGGTTCAATACCACGCCTAACCTATCGGGGCCTTATGTGGTTCGCCACTCCAAGTTCCGGGGCTTAGGTTGTCGATTTCAACCACTGAACAGCAGGTCCTCGTGACTATGAGGTTTACCCCGTCTGCTGTTCAACCCACCTAGGTGTGTAATAAAAAAATAGAGGTTCACCTTCTTTTTCCCTCAAAATAGGTCCAATCCCTATCCATATTAAATATACCAGTAACTTTTGTATGCATTGCGAGTTTGGCAACCATGAGCGTAGTTTACTTCACTGTATTCTGCTGTACGGTGATAACGATGAATTATGATTGAAAACCCATCAAAGCGCATGTTTGGTAATGGTCCTCGGTTCACCAACCTTTGATACAACTGAGTTTACTCAAAGTTGTTACGACTGTTGTGTACGGAATTCGGGATGCCTCCGTAGACTGTATGTCGAATTTATTCGCTGAATCACACCTCTTTATTGTAATCTTGCGCGATGAACAACAGACGTGGTAAACTCCATAGTCACGAGGACCCGCTATTCACTCACGGCAACCTCAGCCCTGGGACTTGGCAGCGAAATTACCTACAGCCAACTTCGGATGGCTGTGGTGGGGTTCAAACTTCTTTTCCGAGAGTCCAAAGCACACCGGCGGCAGCGAATTAAACCTCTTGACCTCCAATACCTGTAATCTATGTCACATGAAAACACATGCTCAGACCCGTTTTTATAATAATGCGGTAGAGCTTAGATTCCGTTTCATAATTGGAAAAATGAGCATCTAAGATGTGTTGTTGAAGTTCGTTCGAATCCATTGTTGTTGTGTTGTCTGTTTCTGGCAAGGAGAATTCCGAAAATGTAGTTTGTACACAATCTGAAGATGCAGTTTTCACATGTCCCTATGAAAACGTTTGCTACACTTATTATCGATTTTTGTGATTCAGATTCTCGCCAAATCCGGTCTACATACGCCAAATGAGCAAGTGGACCGAACTGGGTCTCAATTTGCGCTCGAGACGATCGAGGTTGAAGATTCCTGTCTGTCTGCTTCACAAAATCATATTAATCCCGTGCCACGAAGTACAATTGATGATAGCCTGGACGAAGTGGAAGTCATCGGGGACAGTTTGGACGAATAGGGAACAAATCAGATCACATTTGCCACTGGAGAGCATTTCTTGTTTGTTACAGATATCTATCTTTTTGGCTTCATTTGCTAACACTCGTGGCCGCTTTGCATTCTCTGTTATTTTTTCACCCCAATCAGCTCAATTTTAAAGTTCAGATATCAGATTTCGTTTTTTCTGTCAAATATATTTTTCATAGATCTTTTCAGTCCTTCACAAGTTTGCTTCAGCAGTTTTGTCATCCTATTGGACACAATGATAAATTTGTGTGAACGTACTTGGCATTCCATGGAACACTTACAGTCGACTACCCAGGATGCGATCAAGGTGCGATGTGGCAGACGACTACGAGACATCCGTAATGCGTCATAACCTGGAATCCTACTCATTTGAATTATCCAATTTCTCCCAATTCACTATCAAATGCACTTCGGTTCATCATGGGTGTTAGTAATCAGTCAGCATTACCTAATCCACCAGCACCGAACTGCGTAAATGTCGACGACTCGAAAACTCCATCACGGCCGATTATCCACAGTCTGATCGTTTCTCTTTGGTGTGAATAGGATCATAAAATATACCCGCTTTTTGCATTCTGAAATTTAATTTAAGTTGTAAAGCTTACCGTACCATATGGGGTCCTAAAGGGCTAGGTGAAAGTTAGTAAAATCCAGTTACAAGTTTCTGTCGCTTTCCGTTCGGAACGCAACGAACAAAACTGGAAGGAATAGTTAGTGTTGGTTGTTAAAGAGGAACGGTTTATGGCTCTCTCTCTTTGTTTAAACTAACCATTCTCTCATTATCTGATCCTGATTGGTAATTTGTGGCGAATGTTCACTGTATTGCGGGTCAATTTACCAACAGTTTGTGCCTGCACATGATTTCCGTAATTATATAATGGGTTGCATATGGGTCCCGTCAACGGACACTAATTCCAGTCATTACCACCAACTTCATCTTATTTAACCGAATGATATTCGTTATCCGAGCCTTTGGTGAAAAAGGCTCGCCATGGTCCGAGGATTTAGTTGATCCAGTCAACCGGGACTGCGAGGACGCATCCGCGACCAGCACACTCGATCACGTGATCCAAGTGAATGGACTAACTGTACTGCTTGTTCGTCATGCACGTTTGTGTGTTAGTATGTCATCCATACTGATTAGCTCTCATCAAACCTGTTCTTACTCCAGTCGCACCAACCTTATCTGCAGCGTCGTTGGCTTTAGCTCCTTCCTACCATCGCCTTTCTTAGCATTCACCCGCCCGGCATTTCCAAGTCGTCTTTGTCCACAGCGGTAACAAAGCCTATTCGCGCGTTTGATCTTCGTCACCTGTTATTGGCTTTTCATATCCCGGGCCCAGTCTGTGTGGAGTCTCCCTAATTCAACAGAGATATCGATCGCCGTAAGTTCATCCGTTTGCGCACAGATTAGATTAATAGTAAATGCTTCTCAGTTGAGTGTAGGCAACTTTCTTATGAAAAAAAGGATCAGGGGAACTTTTCAGATTTCGAATGAATCTAATTCAAGTAACGACTGGCTGCTAAGCAAACGTAGTGTCTAAGCAACAATAATAATAATGGAAAGAAGGAAGTGGGTATAAATAACAATGATGTGGAGTAAATAATTACGGAAAATCAGTAGAAGAGGAATGAAGATTGTTTTGGGTTTGTTTCGCCATAAACTTTGTTTGTTGGTCTTTTTATAGGAGACGGAATTACAACAGGTATTCCCTACAGCGTTGGTTCTGCCAATCCGTATCTCTGCGATTCTTTAACCAATGACAACTCTCATCCGTTGGACCGCAACAATACTGGCTGCACTAGTCGAAGTCAATACTGACGCTGACCTCTTTGCATCTTACCTCGTAACTACTTGTAAAACATACAAAAACAGTATGGACATAGGTGACCGTTTATGTGTTTGCATTTCCTCGGGTAATATTTCCTCCTAAATAATCATGCGAACTAATATTTCTTATTTAGTGAAAATATTCGTTTTGAATTTGAAGGAACCACATAGAAATTGATCGTTCACATGACCATGGACAGTCTATTAGGTCCAATTGTATCAGATGCGTTTTCAAGAATGATTGAACAAAAATATGCCCGCCTTGTAAAAATTTCACGTGGACGATATTTTTATTGCTACAGGACGTGAATATTTGGAATCCATTTTGAAACAGTTCAACTCAATTCCGAGACATATTCCGTATCGCATGAAGGAGAAACAAACGCTTTCTTAGCATTTTTGGATATTAGAATTACGAGGCGCTTGGAAGGTATATTGCAATTTTCTGTTCACCGAAAAGCAACATGGAACGATCGGTATCTACATTCCCCTAGCTTCTCGCGTGTGGTATTCTCTGTTCCATTGAGCTAGAAATACTGATCTCCCGGATACAATACTAGAAGAAGCATTCCTAAGTAAAACGTTGCTAAGAAACGGTTACCCAGAAAGATTCATTGAAATCCGTAGTAAACAATTTCCAAATGTCACCCATCTCCAACTGTTCTCCAAATAGATGTCTATGTAAAATTATATTTCGAGATCGATCATCTTCTGGACAATGTGCGCCAAAATTTAAAGTCGGCTCTGAATCGCACAATCCCACCTGCTCAACTTCGACTTATTGCCTCTACTTGTGGAATGGATTTGGACAAACTTAAACAGATTTGGAAATACAGCTGTCTCGAACAATGTAGACCGGCCCAACTGCCGTTGCGGTGACGCACACAGGCGGAACTGACCGTCAATTATCACAAATGATCGAACAAAGTGGTCGGTGAAGTCGATGATGCAACCTGCGATCGACAGTCACGCGAGCACAGGGAACGGGGATTCGCCCATTGCAAACCGCCTCATGACAACCAAAACATAATTAATCCGACTTCCCCCTTGGAGCCGTTGTTACGTAACCGCAATACAAACCCTTGGCCTTTCGTGAGGCGCTATAAATCAGATTACACAATCTCATTTTGTGCGCCCCAAAAGTTGTTGACGTAATCAGTTCGCTTGCGGCGAAGTTGACTTCTTGTTTTAATTTTAATAGCACCCGTCTATCTGCACACGTCCGCGCACTAGGATTTATGTTTTTATGCATCTGTTTGTTGTATGTCAGCGATTGAGAGGATTAAATGAAATGTTAATATTTCGTGTTAGGTGTCTTTTTGCGATCTTTATTGAAGTGCATTACTATCCAGACAACAGTGATTAAATATCGAAAGGATTCAGATATCACTCATGCAAGGGCAAAATTTGGATACTGTATTACCAAAATAATCACGGGCTGATATGTGAAAGTAATATCAACACTGTTGATGCATTGCATGAGCAATGGCAAATCAGTAATTTCGCGAGGTGTAACTCAATCCGGAGTTGATCTGCCCAGGGGACACCAGGCTACGCTTGAGGCGGGAGCTATGTGCTTCTTCAGCTGTCGCTGCTGGTTAGCTAGTTATCTTTCTGTTGTACGGATGTCAGTGGCTCAGTAATCATAGTCAAATTCACTGGATGACAGACAAGTTTAATCGGTTACAGTGGAATTTGAGCGATTCAGTAGTACCTTTCTGATGAAACCATAAAGAAAGTGTAAGAAACGACCGAAGTGCAATAACTACGCAACACTCGAATTAGGTCAAAAAGAACGTCATCGGTCAAGACCTATCTGCTCTTTCGCCCCATCAAGTCTATCAACTCGAAGGTGGAGAATTCAGCCATAATGGTTAGACAATGTAGTTGAGCAACTGAACACTTCATGCAGAGGGTCTTGCTGAAGGTTAGTACAATGAGCGTTGCGTACCTTTGACTGAAATGGAACAAAGCAAACACTTATGAGGTATTTGCTGTCAGAAAGTTACGAGGACGAATATGGGAAGTCATTGTGGGATATCTATCTTGCCGACAGTTTACGATTACTAAGATTTGCAGAACTGATAGCTGTAATTCGATGAAAACTAACTACTTAGCACCAGAAAAAGTTCGTTTAACGCTGGCCATACCGTGGTTTTATGTCCTTGATAGGTCGTCTTGTCTATCCTTAAAAAACGATTTTTTTATCCAGTTGGTTTTTGTTAGACAACAGCTGGGAAACACCAAAATGATTTGGAGAACATACTGTGCAATATGGTTATTTTGTATTCCTTGTCGAAATTAGCATCGGGTTGAAACGTGAATACGCGATTGAAAAAGTCACTTGATCCGACACTGGCATGCACTCTTTTGCGACAAACAGATAAATGCGACTGGACTGGTCATCTCACTCACTATGCCACCTGGCGTTCGAGGAAAAACAGCAAACACGGGTTTGAATAGCCATGACCCCCTGCCGATTGTGTGTACAACAACATGGTTCACTGATTGGATGAGAAAAGTTGTTCTTCATTATCCTAGTGACAACGCAATTTATGTCATTTGTTTGAGTCTTGAGTAACCCACCGACCAACCCAAATGTGGTCACGAGCTCGCGCGTTCTTCTGAGTGTATATGACGCCTTTGGTTGTGTTCTTTGCAATCCACCTTGAATACTTACTAACACGTGTTGTTATGTTTCTCGAGTAATAACAAGCTAATCTGCGATTTACGTTGGTGATTGTCTGGTTGCTAGAGCAAGTTTAATTACCTCCGTACCGGAGTGTGACGGGGAGGCGGAGGTGGAGGACACAAGGAACATAAGATCCCAAATCTTGCTTTCCTTGTCTCGACGAGGTGATCTTACGCAAGAGGTTGCTTAAGTTGTTTGCCTTATGCTGCCAAACAGCATTTAAACAAATGTGTCAATCCTGTCTGAGCACGACCATGTGCGCTCCGGTTTTACTGGCTTGTTAGTGACCATAACTTCTCTTCTCATTCAACCATCGACTTACGCGATCTTACCTTGGTTGTATACACATCATGAACCTGATGCAGCTCAACGGATGCACTGGGCTAATACACTGGTTGCTTTTAACGGGATTTCTCGTCCTTCCTATGCGGTTAGACGAATCAGTTATGAAGATCAAATGAACGAACCATCGTTTTTGCTGTTCACAGACTTATTGGAATCAACTGCCAGTCGAAGGTGGTTGCCCAACCGAAAGCAATCAAAAAAGACTACCATATTTGCAGCGATATTCCACTTCGCCAATGATCCACCGTGATCGTGTATTCAGAGCAGGAGAATATGTGAGTGGGAGTTTGTTTATTTACTGTGTTTTCAAAACTGCAATGTGGTATTGAAAAGCCCGAGGGGTGTGAAGCTACACAGTTGAGCGAGGAGACCGACGGGGTTTCTATAATCTCATTAGATGCAAAAGTAGGTAATCTGGAGGACTGCATCAAAGCTAGTATTGGGAGTGAATTGTTTGTGCTTTGTAGTCGGTTGTTTGGTTCACTCATTCGTCAAACATGGTAGATTTGGTTGTATCTTTACGGACGATTGCAAAACTTGTCGTGCATGAGTCCTGAAACGAAAGTCCTCAAGTGAACGATTCATAATTAGGAAGAGCTTGAAAGAGACTGTGGTCAGGCCACAGGTAAAGAAAAGATGTTGACTTGGACAAATCAAAACTCCCGTTGAGCATCACTTTGGGAGATGAACTTGTTAAGACTCAACCGTTTGGAGACCTCCCTGTTTTTTTGGATGAAGCATTAAGCTTGCGTCAGTTGGGACAAAGGGTTTGTTTCCAGTACGTGGCTGACTTTGGTTTGTGTGGGTGGGTGGGTGGGAAGGGGGGGGGGG